GTGTAACTGGATTTATGTTCAGGTCTTTGATCCACTTGGACTTGAGTTTTGTTCTCCACCCGCTTTCACAAGGTTCACAGGCCCTAGTAAACACCTGAATAGCAAGAAAGAATATACCTACACCCTGAAGTGGCTGTGGGGGCTGATGGTTGATGCACTTGCATTGCTCTATTGTGGAAGAGGCAAACCTTTACTACATTAATTAACCATTGGGAATTGGACATCTTGGGTTATCTTCACAATACATCAGGCTTCCATTCAATGAGTGCAATGTGTCGGGTGCCAACCTACCCCAAACAATTCTATTCATCTCCCTCTTTTTCCTTCCTGCTTCTCTCTGCTTCTAGGAAACTATGTCCTCTAAAAATAAAAATCAAGAAAGCAAAAAAAAAAAAAAATTGAAAAGCCTCTTTCTACTCTCCCCCTGTGAAGAGTAAGGAGTAAGAGTCATTCCAGAACTTACTCTAAAGGAGCCCACCTTGTGCTGATTCCATCAAGATAAAAATGTTTCTCAGTGTGAACCCAGACGGTGGCATTCTTCACAGCCAAGCCATGGGCTCTCCGAGTGGGCAGAAGGTTTTGCTCGGCACCGTGCCCGCGCAGTCTTGCCAGTCAGTATTTATCACCCTTTCTTTTCTTCTCTTTACATAGTTGCCGGTCAAGGGAACAGCAGCAGCGCCTTTCTTGTACACAGTAGGATTACTCCTAGGAGGAACTCAGTGTGGTGCAAGCCACTGGTTCACCAAAGCTGGATATCTGGCACCTTCTAAACAAGCTTTTTATTGAATTTATTTCAGGCCAGCTATTTGCCCTGGGTTGTTCACTGGATTGTGTTTTCTTTCAAACCTGGCTGTACAGCTTAGAGTTTTGTCTTTAAAGGCCCACGCTTGCTTGATGCATAGTAACCATTGTGAAGTTGACAGCTGTCCCTAATTTTTAATATGAGCTGAAAGACAATGTTACACACTCAAAAGAAGGTTGGGGACTGTTGTCTGCTAAGGTTCTCACTCGATTAGACAGAAATCTATTAGACAGGCTGAGCATGGCTCCCTTGCTGTTAGCAGTGAGCCGTGAGTGCCAGAGGCCTTGAGCTCTTAGTGTTGCCCTGTGTTCTGAATTCCCGCAGCCCGGGCCCCCTCTCTTATGTGTGGGTTCCTCAGAAGCTGGTGGAACTCTTCCAGCTACAGGGACCTGCAGCTCTTTCAGAGTCCTTTGGCTCTCTGGTCAAGGCTCTCCCCTTTGCCTTTGTGGTTTCGGCTCCTTGCAGCTATTTGCCACCCCCCCTCCCCCGCACCTCCATCACCTCCACCCCCTCCCCTGCCCCTCGCCCCTCCTCCTTTCTCCTTTTCTCAGCTCTCTACGGCTCTCCCTATTCTGCACTTTTTCTGCTCCTTGTCACTTTGAGGAACCCTTAGCAACCATAGCTTCGAGGTGTGTTTAGGACTAGTGGCCCCGACGTTATCTGCTCTTGGTGCAACCAGCTAAGCCGACCCTACCCCAGAACATCGTGAGTTGGCCATAAAACCACCCAAAAGGTGGTACTGCAGTGTGTGCACGAAATAACAGTGGCCGTGGCCAGTGTGTCCAGCTTCTGTATCCAGTCACACGTGTGTGCAGTGTCCTGTCTGCTAACAACAAACTTTTTGTTTAGTCATGCCAGACTGCACAGGTCACTGGACCTGTCTACTGCGATTGTCCTAGGTGGGCATATCTGCAAGTTGGATAGGGACACCTGGAGCAGTTATAGGTTTGGGAGTCACCTGAAGCTGTTGTGGTCGGAGCCGCTGTGGGATGTCTGGGGCCTCCTGATAGACAGCTCTTTAAGCTTCCATGGAGTTGGTGAGTTTGAAGTCACAGTCGCTACTACAACTTCTGATGAGAATTTAGGAGCTGTGGCAATGTCACTCACAGTCCGGCCACGTTTGAGGGCCACAGCAATGGCTGTCGATCTGCTCTGTTTGGGTTCCCTGGGGGAAGCATGACAACTGTCAACCGAGCAGCCAGCCAGCTCCTGCCAACCCCTGACAGTCTCCGGAGTTTGAAGGGAAGCCAGCAGACGCTAAGAAGTGCTTGTAAACAAGATCCAACATGGAATTAGCATAGTCCTCCCATGAACTCTACCCAGCATGTAGCTCATGGCCAAACGCTGCCACAGAGTAAGAAATGCCTGTGTGGGAAGGTCCAGGCTCCCTTGCCGTTGTCTTAAGTGTATCAAGCACAGGAAGCACTTCCCGTAGTCACGTCAGACACAGGAAGAAAACACTGAGAAGAAACCATGAGAATCTACGCACATCCAACTTTTAGAAAAACCGAGGAAGTTCGTTTAATTGGTCGACTTTCACTGTGATGATAAAGTGACCCTCAGCCACTTTCCCTGTCTTATATGTTTCCGACTTCCAAATTTAGTTTGGCTTTTGTAATAAAATGGCCGTTTTTAGTAAATATCATAGACTAACAGCTTGGTGGGTACCTGGGCTTGGTTGCTGGCATCTATATGAGACAGGTAGCTAGGTTCCTGGCCAGGGCACGCTGGGCATTTTCCTGCAGGATTTTAATACTGCTGGGCCTCCCACAATGAAAGTGGAGGCAGGCTGGGACATTAGCTGTGAAAGAACCTCCCTCCACAGGAAAGAACAGGCGGTCCGCCTCACTGCCAGTCTGTGTCTCTCTCGACCACTGTTTCATCTTGTCTGTACATTGTAAGACTGCCACAGAGTAGGGAGAGAAAATTAAAAATTTTTCTTTCCCGAGTTTAGTTAAATTGTAATAAACTGTTTTCTTTACCCGTTTCCTGTCTCTCAGAGGCAGAGCAGAAGGATTACTATAAATCTGAGGCCAGCCCCAGTTATATAATAGGTTCCAGGCCAAATAAGGCTACATAGAGGGACCCTGTAAATAAAAAAGAAATGAACAAAACAAAATAAATGAATTAAAGAATATGGTGAGAAATTACCCTGGGGGCCTGGCCACAGCTGTGGACTTGAACTGCCCTGGCAGGAGGAAGACTGAGCCTATCGCTTTAAATATATATATATATATATATATATATGCTTTGCCCTTTTATTTTATTGGACTTTTCTACCAGGAAAACCAGGCCTAAGAACTTATGAAACACAACAGCCAAAAGAAAGGGCGCAACATGTGCACCTAGACACCATAGCCAGGAGAACTTCTAACATCGAGATGGCAATGGTTCCACTAGCCTGTCAGCTGACCGCCCTGTGTGCATGCCGAGGGACTGACAGGCAAAGAACTCCCAACTCTCCCGGGAGCTTCAGCTCAGCTTGTCCCCATTGTAGACATGGCCGACTGCCATCCGTCTGTCCATCTCCTGTTTGTTCATCTGGACCTGCTCCATACATCTGCTCACTTGTCTGTCTGAGCCTGGTTCAGGGCTTTTCCTCTCCAGTCTCCACTGTTCCCCAACTTGTTTCTGCAGCTCAGCTCAACCCCGAGGCTCAGAACTGCTCTGAGGTTGCACTGGGCTCAGTGACAATATCTTCAGCAGCTCTGCTCTCCTCCCCAGGGAGTCCCTTGGCAACCCGCCCAGCTTCCTCCTCCTCCACCTCTCCTTAGCCCTCTCTAGAATGCACTGGACTCTGCTGTGGCTCCTTGAGCCATTGGGTAACCTGCATACTACAACCCACCCCTTCTCTCTCTCCATACACACATATACATTCTCATGGTGATGTGCGGCATGTGATCTGAGAGTTATTTGTAGTTAAGATCAGAATAAAAGAACTTCTGTTTGGCTTGGCTGGCTCTCAGGGGAAATGGAGACTTCTTGGCAAATTGCTGCCATGGAAGGTGGTTTGTGAATTTATAATTCTAATCTCATGGAAAGACAAATGTGTCATCTGTGTTTCTGACAGTCGCCCACCCTCAGTACAGTTTACCTTGACCCTGAGCCAGAGCAGCTGTGTGGTACTTCATCCACCTAGTCTAAGCCCACACCTTCAGAGCAGATTAAGTGTTTTGGAACAGACAAAATTTGTGTTTAGGAGGCAGAGTTCATGAACTTGGGGAAAAGGAATAGATGTCTTTGGGTTTGGGGTATTGCAAGTTGACTGTCCAAGTTCACATTCCAAAGGTGAACCAGACTGGGTTTAGGTTGCATTTTATTTCCAGCAAAAGTGTATACATCAAGCCTTCGACAGAGGTCGATGTCAACCCCAAACAGTGCTGGGACATGGGTCTCCCCTGGACCTGAGGTCTCTCTCGGACCCTTAGATGGCAGCGGAGAAACAAAGGCACCAGAGGTGGTCCCTGTGGCCGCTCTCTACACTCCTTCCCGCTGAGCCGGCCAAGCCAAGTGAAAAACAAAATTAAGCACACACTTGTCACTGGGAATCTTATCTTTTAGATTTCAGCCTTTGGAGGAATCAATCAACATGTAGTAACGTTTTCCTACAGAGAAAAAAAATCCATGGGTATAAACATTCCCCCAAACAACTTTAAATATTTACAAAATTACTTATAGTTATTTATTTTCAGCTGAGTGCTGTGGCACACACCTACAGTTCTACATCTGAGGGCTAAGATGGGAGGATTCTGTTTAAATACTCATCAAGAAATCACGATACTGTGTGCACGGGAACCTAAGAATTCTCTAAGTAAATGGTTCACATGGATGGAGTCTTACTTGGGGATCTGTGCACCCTGGCGGTAGCCTACGGGGCTGCGATGTTGGCAGGAGTGAGAGTTATGAACATGAAGGTTGTCATAGACAAATATTTAGAAATGCACCTGGTACTTGTAAGGAAGATGTCTACACTCAAAATGTGCAGGAGAAGTGGGCAAGAGAGATTATCACCACGTTCCCAGGCATTCTGCCGAGCAGCAGTTAAAAAGGATTAAAACAAAAAGTGGAAATAATGCCGGAAGTTCATGGATGGGAGGTCAGAGCAGAAGGCTTAACCTGTGCGAGTCTGTAGGTTCAATCCCCGACAGCAGAATACAAAAGCCAAACCAAACAGCCAACAGACAAAAACCAGGCGGGTTTTGCACTTTATAATGGGATTTATTTGGGGGAGATTGTATTGCTGTTAATACGTGTACAGTTGAATATTTTTTAGTGATTGCCTAATAGAGTAAAAAGAAAAACAAGTGTGTTCAAGGTCTTTCTAAAGTAAAGAACAAGGTGTTGAGGTTTCACAATTGCAAGTCTGTACAAATATTTGCTTCACCAAGTTAGGCAAATAAAATTGCTTCATTATTCACTCACATGCTGTAAAAAAAAAACACTGTACACTAAGAAAAATCGTGAAACAAAACAAAATAAAAATCCTTCTTTCTAATTCATATGGCAAGGCAACAAAGTTTCCATCCTGTCCACAAAGAGCAGACTGAGAACCCCTCCATCAATGTAGAAAGTACTACAACTTGTCAGCATTTGCCCAAGATTATCTTACCCCTTGGTCTACATTTCAATATCTAGCAATAATTTATTTTATAAAACCCACACTGATTATCTTTCTACTTCTTTGTTTAATAGATATTATCTTGCCATATTCCTGTTGCCATTACCAAATACTACAGGCTGAGATCTCTACAAGCCCAGAAGACCTTGGTCAGCTAATCAGTCTTGTTCATTAGATGGGTGCTAGTGCCGAAACCACATTTTGCACACCAGTAGCACTTTAAACACGTGAAAGAAAGCTTTAACATATCGACTCTAAACCTAGGTTCGTGTCATTGGCGGATGCACAACTCTGCAGATGTTACTTCATTTTGGTTTTGTGGCCCACAATTGCTTCAAATTGAATATTCTGTATACGACTTATAGCTTTTAAGGCACGTTCAGGAAGAAACCTACATTAAGAAAAAAAGATAAGAAAATTTCAATGTACAGTTTTGATACTAGCATTCTCCCCCTCACGCCCCCCATCCCGTCAATTTAAAAATGCCCCAAAGCTTACCTGACCTGAATTTAGTTTTCCTCCATTCTCTGCTTCTTCCTTAGTTTCTTCCCCATCCCCCACCACCACCTACACTGACCTATGCTAGATCACCACTCTTTCATAATAGTAAAATTGTATGAGATCTTATACCAACAATGATCTAAAAACTGAAGCTATGAACTCCTCACTGCTGAGTCGGTGAATTCTGGCACCAAGAACTCAGAATCCATGACACATGCCCTTCCTCCCCTTCTTATGTTCAGGATTCCCATCACTTTATGAAAGGGAAAACTACGGAGCCTTCGAAAGCCTGTTGCCTCCGAGCATATTGCTGTGCCAAGCCAAGTGCTGCCACAGCTGGCCAGAAACCACCTGCTGTCTACAATAAAATGTGGAGGATTTACATGGTCTGGATAGTGAAGCTCGCCAGAGGGTTAGTCAACCTGAGCTGACGGGTGAAGGAAGAGCATGAGCGTACCGAAGGAAGGAGGCGGAAAGAGCACGCTCTACACAGAACATCGTATTTCAAATTACACTGGTATTGCTAATGCAAGATTTACTTCCCTGTCAGCCCCTGGGCAGAGAGAGGGTGGGAGGATGCGGGGGGTGGGGGTGGGGGTGGGAATGAAGGGGTGAGGATGACCCGGCTGTGAGGACGACAAGGGTCAGAAGAAAGCTTCTGCAGACCTTTGAACAACTCCCCCAAAGACTAGTGATTGCCTCCGAGTGCGAAACTGTCTCTCTCTAAAAGGAGTTAAATGTAAAGAGCAACAAAAAGGCCTGTTGCCAGAGCAACAAATCACACTGAGCTCTCTACAAAGAGGCAAAGGCTTTGAGGCGCCTCCTTGTTCAGGGTTACCGCTCTCATCCCAGGCAGAACAATCAATCATATTTATATCATGGTCATATACACGCCTGGTCCTGTTTGGGGATTTTCCCACTCTAATGAGACCTGTTTTGAGCTGTGTAGAGGAAATTTGTTTCATGGGATTTTGCTGTCTTTGGGGCTCGTGAGCCTGGGAAGGAAAGAAATGACTCCATGCTAAGGTTCTTGGATTCTAAATGAAGTGATGTAAAAATCACATGGAAGTGGATTGTGAGACATTTAAGATGCACACTGTCACAAAGAACTGCAAACACTGAGCACCCAAGTGTTTGGGGGGATGGCCACACAAATGTGGGGACCTGAGTTTAATCCCCATAAGCCACATAAAAAGCTGGGCATGGTGGTGTGCATGTAACCCCAGTGTTGGGGGATACGGGGTCTGGCACATCCCTGCTGGTGGACATCTATCCTAGCCTAATTGGTGAGTACAGATCTCAATGAAAGACCCTGTCTCGAAAGAAAGAGAGAAAGGAAGGAAGAAAGGAAGGAAGGAAGGAAGAAAGAAAAAGAGAAAGAAAGAAAGAACAGGAAGGAAGGAAGGAAGGAAGGAAGGAAGGAAGGAAGGAAGGAAGGAAGGAAGGAAGGAAGGAAATCCTGCCTCCACCTGCACCCACATAGACACCACACACATACACATGAATACACACACAGAGCCCTTATGATGTCTCCATAACCTGTATGCTTTAAAATGTCTTTCCTTCAATTTGCATAGTCTTGAGCAAAATTTGGGCAGAGGCAGGATGTATTTTACAAAGGGAATCGGGGACTCGAGGGCTCATTTTCCTCCTCTGGAATGAGTAAGGCAGTAACAAGGGAGACTTAATTTTCACTCCAGGCATAGGGAGTTTCCATAGCAACAGTCACATCTGAAAATCTCTCTGTAATAACATTTCTGTTTGTGTGTTAGTATTTCAGGGTTCTACACTGTACTTACTTTTCCAGTACTAGAGAAATACTGATATAGGATGGCACGAAGATCATCTTCTTGTTGGTAAGGATTCCGTCTATCAGGCTTCTTGCGACTTCACTTGTCTCTAATACAGGCCACAGCCTGATGGGAAGAGGGGGAAAGAGTTCATCTCTGTTTATACTGTATTTCTTCATCTGGGTGCTGGGATCGGACCCAGCACTTCACACACACTAAGCATGCACTCTACCCCTGGGATAAAACCCCAGTCCCTCAATTTTTATTGTTTTTAATTAATGAACAAAGGACATTAACCCATCTCTTCACCAAATTTAGAATTAGGCTTTAAAATGTCTCAGGATTCCCTTTATGAATGTCACCCCCACACACACACACACACACTTTCTACATCCCACGCTGATACCTTGTTATCACATTCTTATACTTTCAAGTCCAGTATGTGTGTGTGTTGGCTCACCAGGTCAAAATAATTGAATCATGACAAAGTACAAGGTGGGAAGGAACAGGGGAGTGGGGGACAAAAGGGTGTGCCAAGGATGAATCACGTGATGTTTCCAGGCCTGTTGGATGTAAAGAGACTATTCTACAGCTGAGCACACCCCTGCTGTGTGTGGGTATCCCGTAGAGCTGTATTGTTTTGAGGCGTTCAGTAGTTAAGATTTGCTTCTGACTTGTTTCTCCTGCAGTTTTATGGGAATTTAAGATTTGTGTAAGTTACAGCTTTTTTATATATGTCACATCTGCTGGCATGGCATTCCTTGATCCAAAGGTTGTGCCCATGTGTCATTGAGAAATGCTCATAACCTGTGCCCAGTGGAGAGTCTTGCCCATGGATGAAAATGATGAGAGAAAAAACAAAGCATAAAAATGGGTTTGAAATGTCACACCAAGGTTGGCATGCCTAGGTGTGGCTGAGTGAATGTTAGAGCTTAGTTCCCTGAGACAGTTCGAGGTTTCTGAAGGCTCAAGTGTGAGTGGTATGTCTGTGTTTGCGGACTAGCAAACCATCACACAGCAATGGAAATCACTGCTTTTTAGACCATTGGGGCTCTGTCTCTTCCCTTTCTAATTTTGCAATGGAGTCGTCAATCCAGACTTAGAGCCACACCTGATAAAGTACCTTAATGTCAGTTCTAGAGAAAGAAATTCAGGGTTCAGTAGCCTGAGTGAGAACATCCCCGAGTCCTGGGCATTGCTGTGTTTGCAGCTATGGTTGCTCTAGGGCGACCGACCGCCAGTCTTACAGAGTTTTTATTTTTCTTCCCTATTTTGTCTTCCCCTGGAGTGGCAGGGCACTCCTGGCCAAGTACATCAGACTCAAAGCTGAGTACTTGTCAGGATTTTTAGGAGACCCACTCTTCCATGTAAGAAAGCTGTTAGGGGTTGAGATGGTGCCACAGGATTTACTTAAATAAAGGTGACATACTATTTTTTGTTTGCTTGTTTTTTGGGTGTTTTGTTTTGTTTTGTTTTGTTTTGTTTTGTTTTGTTTTGTTTTGTTTTGTTTTGTTTTGTTTTGAGACAGGGTTTCTCTGTGTAGTTTTGGTGCCTGTCCTGGATCTCATGCTGCAGACCAGGCTGACCTCTAACTCAGAGATCTGCCTGGCTCTGCCTCCCAAATCTGGGATTAAAGGCATGCGCCACTGCCATCCAGCGGTGACATACTTGTTAAATACCTATGACCTACTCAAGGTGTCATTGTCTGGGAGGGCTCCAGCTTCAAGGTCAGCATAACTAACCCCATCTCACCTTGTGCTTGGGTTTTTGGTGAAGCCAGTATTTACGAACACAGGGCACAGACATGAAGTTTTAATACCAGTTTTCCCCAAGGTTTCAAGTTCTGCAGTCAGTGCTCTGTGGAAGCCAACAGCAGCAAACTTGCTTGAGCTGTGAGAGAAAAATCAGCCATCAGCAAAGTTGTAGGACAGTCTCAGTCCCCTGTGAGAAGACAGCTTTGCTTGTTTAGGGTAAGAAGACCCAGGGCCTGCTACTTACAGTTTTTCTGAGAGGGTAAATGAGCATTTGTTTTTATTTTCTTATGTGATTAAGTAGAATTTTGAACATGCCCAGTACCTTTTTTCTTTTGGGGTCCTGGGGATTGACCCCAGGGATCTGCACATGCTGAACATGTATTCAACCATTGCCACACCCCAGGGCCCTGTTCCTAATTTCTAACTACAAGTATAGTAAAACAACCACTTTACAAACAGGCTTCATGTTTTCTATTCTGTATGTGGCCTTTTCTATGGTCCTGTCAACCTTACAAAGTTTTCTTAATCTTGGTTTATTACTGTTTTATCTTTAAAAGTATGAGTCAGTAAAAGACATTGAAAACACTATGAAACCAATATTGACAAACTTGTGGAATGGTATACATCTCTCCTGTCTTGATTAATTGGTTGATGGCTTCTCTGTTGACATTGGTGGTCTTTTTGGCTTCTTAATGTCATTGAGTATTTGGAGTTAAAGGACTCCAGATGGTGTGGGTGTGGGTGGGTTTGTATGTGCAATCTTTAACACCAGATTCTGTATTGTTTCTCTGATTATAAAATGTTGATAATAAAATATAAGGCTGCTTTGGGGATTCAATAAAATAGGATAGGAATAGTAACTTCTGATTTACAAGGATCTGTACAAGTGTTAATTTCTGTTTTGATCCAGGTGACAAAAAATCAGTGTTAAAGGTTCTGTCTGTCTGTCTCTCTCTCTCTGTCTTGTGTGTGTGTGTGTGTGTGTGTGTGTGTGTGTGTGTGTGTGTGTGTCTCCTCTGTGTGTGTATGATGGAAACCTGAGCTATGTTGAAATGTAACTCATCTGTGATCATGTTCAGTGTGAGAAATTGTTTAGTCTGCAGTTAAATTTAGCTTTGAGTGTGCATATAAAGAAGTAACAACCTATGCACCCACTGCATCCAAATATCTTGGTAAAATTGTTCCCGGGATTATTATACGGCAGAAGCAGGGAAATCAAATGCCATTCACAGAGTTCACAGGGATGTGTTGCAGATAGCGTGTCCCCAGGACATGGTGTGTGGCGTCTGCATCTCCTGGGGCGGCAGGGCCATTCTGTATTCTTTCGCTCACACAGGTGTGCACCTAGGCCACGCTATACCTGTCAGCTTCTGTGTGCTTTTGTTTCCTAGTCTGCTGTGTGTCTTGTCCTCACATCCACTCATGTCAGGATACCATGGAAAGAGTCTAAGAATTTTATAATAAAATTAGAGCCAATTTCCTGGTTTCAGAAGTCATTTGAAAGTTGCACTAACCTTCCATATACATTCCCTGTGTCCAAATGCCCAAGCTGGGGGCCTGAAGACTAAATCACCCCTCAGAAGTCCAAAACTGCAGAACACCGATGCTATTGCTTAATACCTACCAATATGGGATGAGATAAGGAATCACTCCGTGGCCACATACTGAGGCCACTGTGACAATGTGGCCAGAGTTTCTTCTTAGCATCGATGGAAGAAGTGCTTTTATAATCTTCAGGTCCATGTAAAAAGAAAAAGAAAAAAACAATGACCCGGGCATTAGGCAGATCCCCAGGCAGGCCATTTCATTTCTGCTAAGGTAGAGGCTTTAGAAATTAAATAGTTGCAAGACTCTGTGGTCCCTTCTACACAAATGACCGAAAGGAAGGGTAAACCTGTTGGCTTGGGACAGCACCGGGAGCCGAGGACCTGTGCTAACGTGTCCCCTTCTTCTCTTCAGAAGGCGTCAAGTAGCTCCTTCCTGAACATGCCATCTAAGCAACATTACCATCATTTTCTTTTATAGTGCTAGGGATTAACCAGAGGACTTTGTGCATGCTAGACAAGCACAGTACTGCTGAGCCCCGAGCAACATTGTCAAGGGATAAATCCACAGATATCAGACCTCAAGGGTAAGTTGGCATTCTACAAGTTCTTGGTTTCAATAGAATCTACTTCTATAAAGGCAACTGAAGAGCATAAGCTGAGTTCTGTCCTGGTCCACAGCCACCAGGCATAGTGAACAGACCTAAATCTCTTTCTTATAACAGTATATATGATACACTATGTTATGGGAAACAAAATATTTTTTTGTTTCCAAAAGAAGCCTCACTATGTAGTGAGAAATATAGCATCTTATGAGAATTTTATAGACCTACCCTTCAAATTCTATGCAAATTCCTGGAGCCCAAACCAAATTCCGAACTAGCTCCTGCCTACAGATCTGTGAGGAGATAATGAACGTTCGTGGTTGCTCTAAACCCCTATCTTTTGACATATTTTGTGACATAGCTATGATTTGCTATTAATTATTAGATTACTAATATCCGAGGTCTCTGTATAGTGTGAGTGGCATGATGGCCGGATCACATTAGCATGCATGAGGGGCTGAGGAAGGATGATCTTCAAATCCATATTTGCTCCAGGAGCTACACTAATATCAAGGCCCCATGCTCTCTCCAAAGGGTTGAGACTCACACTTCATTTTCTAACAAACAACCAATAGTAAAAAAATCTCCTGACTCATCTTTCTACACTCCAGCATTCCATGGATCTAACAGGCTTGTTTGGCCCATAGGCTGCATATGGCTGATATTAGCTATGAATACAAAATTGTGAACTTATTAAAACATTTTGAGATTTTTTTCTTTGTAACTCAATTGTGAACTTCTCAGCCATGAACTTTATAGATGATAATGTTATATCAAAATGTCAACTTATCTCAGAGCCTCAACCCAAAGTGTCCCCAACTCCTGCACACATCTGTTTAGTTATTTCGATGTCTTTTCAACTCTATATTTCTATGAAAGGAGGCCACAAATGGAAGTACACAGCATATACTTTCTCTAAAACACTGGAAAGATGTACAGAGACAACTCTTAGCAAAAATAAACATTTTTCTGTTGACCTAGAACATGCCGGGCTCTATGCTGGATTCTGTTTGACAGAACAAACCAGGTGGCTTTTATTTGAGTGTACCATGTCCACGTGAACTCTAAATCCTGACGCCAGACTCTATGGCTCGTCTACTCAAACACATTACACAATTCCTGACTTAAAAAAAAAATCAAACAACTTTACATTTTCCCATCCCAAATACTGTGAACTCAATGAGTTTCCAACACTGAAGAGGTGCCAGACCAGCCAGAAATGTTTCTGACTCACTCACCCAAAAATGTCCTAGGATGTTGACCTCAAAGGTTCTGGTGATCTCCTCATCCTTGGTGCTAAGAAGGTCAGCTGGATATATCGCCCCGGCATTGTTTACCACGATTTCTACATCACCCACTTCTTTCTTTACCTTTTAAAATTAGGAAATGCACACACAGGGTGGGTTACTCTCACACAATCGTGGGGTTGATAGTGATAGGGATCGATCGGATGGATAGAGGCATTTTTATGTCCTCTATTATAAGGACATGTACTCCACTTTGTAACCAGAACATACACATCATGTATAGCTTGGCAATTGCACACTGTTAATGGGTTGTGTGTTCTGAGCTAACCACTGCACTTCCTACCCCTAGCCCAGAAGCCCCCAAAGGAATACAAGGTTGATACCAGCAGAAATTAAGTGGATTCAACATTTCAAGAAATGCCTGAGTCCAATAACACACAGAGGGAGGGAACGGTGCAAGGGATGATAAAGAGAGGCACACAGACATCCCAAGTCACAAAACCGTGGCTGACTACAAGAGGGGAGACTGAGCTCCGGGGAGACTGCCTTTGTCCACACCCACTGCGCGGATAATCCGCTGGCTGGGTGTGACCAGGAAGCCGGATATCTAGGGTATCAATCTGCCCCTCTCCTCAGGTTGCCAGCGTTCTGAGTACAGAACAGATCTAAGAGGCAATTTCTGTCTGTGCCCAATGGCTTCGGTGACAGCTTGGTCGCAGTGCCATCTAGAGATTAGGGTTTTATTTTTCTGTTTGTTTTTTTATTCCCCTGCCTGAGGTCTCAGAGTTCAGACAGGAAGAAGCTGGCTCTAACAGTGACACAGAAGGAGAACTGTCACTAGGTGGGCTAAATGGGCGAAAACCTGTAATTTCCTGCCCAGCGCAGCATGAGTAGCATGAAAGCTTGTGAATTTAAGGTTTTAAGTAAACAATAATTAATGTTTGTGCTGGTAAACTAATGCTTAAGTTCTGACGAAATGTTTTTTAAGTGTTAAGTAATTAATCTTGGTTCTACTACCCGAGGCCACATGATCTTTTCCTGAGCCAAACCTTTCAAGAATGTGTTTACTTATCTATAGAGAGGCTGGTGGGGTTTTCAAGTTAAGTTAGGTTAAGGAAGGTGGTAGCTTATCAGAGGATTTGGTTCATTGAAGCACCTGATGTTTACTTTTTCTTAAAAAAAAATGGTTATACTGGGATGGTGAGATGGCTTAATGGGTAGAGGCATTTTTTCTTATTTGCCAGAGTGACAACCCCAGGACCCACATGTGGAAGGAGAGAACCTACTTTCAAAAGCTGTCATCTGAATTCCACATGCACATTGTGGGGTGTGCACCCCCTCCCACACACATGTACACATATACACATACACACGTACACACACACTAAGTAAATACAATGTTTAACTTCATTAACTGTATGTTTTCCATAAAAGACTAGATTATACACAAACCAATAAAATCTCAGAGAGGAAATAAGTAAAGGCCTAGTAGAACAAAATGTAATTTTAAAAAAGTTAGAAAGGAAAATTTTCTGAAGATAAATCCTCTGTCATAGCTGGCTGTGGTGGTGCACACCTTTAATCCCAGCACTCGGGAGGCAGAGGCAGGCAGACCTCTTTGAGTTCTAGGCCAGCCTGGTCTAGAGTGAGTTCCAGGACAACCAAGGCTATGCAGAAAACACCTGTCTGGAAAAATCAACCAACCAACCAACCAACCAAATAAACAAACACATAAACAAACAAACAAAACAGAAAGAAAGGAAGGGAGGGAGGGAGGGAAGGGTAGAGAGAGAAACAGAGACAGAAAGGAAAAAAAGGAAGGAAGGAAGGAAGGAAGGAAGGAAGGAAGGAAGGAAGGAAAGAAGGAAGGAAGGAAGGAAGGAAGGGATCTGTCGTTTCCTCTGGGCCATTGCTCAGACTTCTGATGAAAGCAAATTTGATTGACGATATGAAACAGCCACAGAGGCCAGAGCTGAGTAGATTTTAATACCGAGAAAGTCTATGTATGTCCTCTGGTCACACAGCAACTCCACTGAGCGCCTGGTATCTAGGCTGCCCTAGAAAATCTTTCCATTCCCCAGCCCAGTGTCAGCTGATACCTGTGGTTATATGCAGACCCCTGCACCCTGGTTCTCACCTGATCCACAGAGTTGTAAATCTCCATCCGGTTGCTGCAGTCCACCACAAACACGTGCACAATGGCCCCCAGTTTCCGGCATTCAGCTGCAGTTTCTTCAACACCGCGCTGGGGGGGGGGGATGGAAGAGAGGGAGGCAAATTCAAGGAAAGATAAGCACTGGAGGAGAAATACTCTAAAATCCTTGTCTCATAAATCTCCTTAAGTGTAAGGGAATTTCTTGAACTAATTACAGCGACTTTACCTCCCGACCAGCACCAGCAAGGAAGAGAAACAAGCCTTTCCATTTAGGGTTTTTGCAGCTTTTCATCCTAGCCTGGGGCTTGTGCGTGTAGGTGATTCATCTAGAGGGACACTGTCATAGCGTGAAGGGCATCCTCACAAGGTAAGGGGAGATGTCTGAGCACGGAGGGCAGAAGGAAGGCTGCTCCATCCCTGCAGCTCACACTTGGGGGAGCATCAGCAGGAGCGGGCAGTAAGGTGCTGAGCACGCCGCTCAGCAGTGATTCAGGTTTTAGGTGGAAACTCTTGCCAACCCATTGGGTGCCATTTGTAGCTGGAGAGTTTCTCTCCAGGTCCCCCCCCCAAGCCCCCGCAGTCCCACAATCCACGTATAAAATAATCATTCAGACACTTATATTATTCTACTGACAGGCCTCGACAACTCGGATCCATCCCCCTGGTGCCAGGAGAGGAGAGACTCTTGTCTGAGAGAAGCTTCCACGGAGGAACTGTTACTACACCAGATAATCTATGGGTTGTTTATCCTTCTGGCACGTTGAGCGAAAAGGGCCAAGAGCCAGTGATTGAAATTGTGCACGAGTCCAGGACATGAAGGCAGCTTATTTTTAGACCAAATTCAGAGGCCTCTTACCTGAGATGAATGGTCCTAACGGTGTGTGTGTGTGTGTGTGTGTGTGTGTGTGTGTGTGTGTGTGTTTGTATTTTCTGTTGTTTTAGACCAGTTGTCACTATCAATCTATCCCTTGCTTACTATGTGTACCCCAAGCAAGTCTCCAACTCTGGCCAGTCTCCAGCCTCATCCTCCTGAGTGTTGCAATTACAGGTGTGAGTCACCACCCTTGGATGTCTTAAGTTTTTTTTTTAACCTCTATATCGAGAAAATATGAATTCTTTCCAAGTTTTGACATCTGTTGATTTTACAGGGAATATTATGAGGTTTAAAAGAATTTTTTTTGAATTATACTTTTCCCCACTTCTCTGTGGATGAAGAGTGAGGACGCCTAAGAAGCCCTCTCCTGTGCACACCGGGACAGAAGTGGTGTCGCCATCTTGTGGGTTTGGCTGAGGCTGGCTGCCTCCCTTGGGCCCCCTTCGCATTTCATTGTCTTAGGCTCAACCACAGAGCAGTCTCAAAGAACAGACTTTACCAGGATTAAGACGTCACTACAAAACCACTGTCCCTGCAGAGAGTCTTGGGGGCTGCAGCACACAGCAGCGGGCTGGGTGGGAGAGTTTTCCACTGACTGGCTTCAGCCGGAAGCCTGCTTACTTCCGTTGCCCGATCACACCCCAGACCTCTAGATCTGAGGTCTGCAGAGATTGGCAGTGACCAGAGCTTCAAGCAGGTGCTTTGAAGAAGAAACGATTTATCACTGTCACCTTCTGTAGCAGCACAGCCACTGGCGAGCTGGTCGTGTTCCTGTAATGAACCCTCGTCCCAGCGAGCTCATGGTAGCAATCCTGATTAAACTCGTTAACACACACACACACACACACACACACTAAAGACGTGAAAGCAGAGGGGAGCAGCTAGAAAGGGGGTCAGCAGGAGTGGGAGGGGTCAGGAGATAATAATGGGGTGAGGTGTGAATATGATCAAAACACACATGTGTGTGATGAAACCCCTTGTTATGTATGGCTGATATTTTCTAGTAAGAGCTTACAAAACCCCTCTGGTGTTACGGCGGATTTGGAGCATGGCAGAATGTAGCTCTATTTTGCACATGAAGCACCTTCTGTAGGGTCAAGTCCTCTCTGCCCCGCGCTTCGCTCATCTCGGTGTTCTGGTTTTATTAGTGTACAAAATATTAGGTTTCGCGGTGGCATTTCCATAGACACACACGAGAGACTCTGACAGTCCCATGCTTGCTGTCCTCTCCTAGTCCCTGGCAGCCCCCCTCTCCTGTCTTCCGTTATAATTCTACCTGTAGCCAAGGCTGGCTTCAAGCTCGCAACAATCCTCCTGCTCGGCCCCTCCAGGGCTGGGACTGCAGCAGAGCGACCATGCCCGGCAGAGCCTTCCCTTTGTGAGCCTGACATCGTGACCTCCGGTTTCACCCTCTTTAGTTTTATCCCAGTTGTAGAGATTAAAGAATAATAATAATATTAATAATAATAATAATGAGG